TCCTCCTCCTCCTCCTCCTCCTCCTCTTCCTCGTCGTCGTCCGAACTTTTCGAGAGTGCGGATGGAAAGCTCAGTCTCGATCGTTTCCTCCGCGGGCGCATTCGCTCGCTTCTCCGCTCGTTCGCGGGCAGATCTTCCGGCTTGAAGAATATCCAGACGTGGTAGCGTGTCTTTCGAGGGCCTATGTACAGCTCGTTGCTATGAGCAGTTTGCAGTAGTCGGGACACGTACGACAAAACCATCTAAAAGGGAAAAGTATATATATACAAGAAGAGAATGCTTTTAATTATCGAGCTTTGAAGCTTCTTCGAGGCAATGGCTCTCGATCAGTTTTTTCAAATAAATTACAAACCGTGTCTTTCTTCATTTCCATTTGGAAATTTCACGCTGATTTTGAGGCTCACTGCTCTGAAGATTCAAGGTCGTTTCGCAAAACTTTAAGCAAGCTTTAAGCCCTCGTACACGTACCTGATAGACGGATAAAAGAGCGAGATATCCCGCCAAGAACGTTCTAATAACTTCACCCCGATTTATGATCTTCGGTCTGCAACCGTCGGTGGCGATGGTCAAATGCTTAGGGTTGTACTCGTAGACTGCACTGGGCCTGAGAATGTCGTGATGAACGCAAGGTTTCGCAATGCCATTGGAACAACAGGAGAAAGGCACGTCGACGGGCGAGGTAGCTTCTTCCTCTCGTTCTTCTGATACTGATCTTTATCGCACAGTTAGTTAAGGGGCGAGATATTCAAGCAGTGAAACGAATGATGAAAAACAACAGTTTCTAACAGTGAGTAATGTCTGTCGGTAATACGGTATTCCTTCAGAAACAGATTTGTCTTCTTTTAGAGAACAAGTGCGACAAGTCTATAACCTTGGCAAATGAATCCTGAGGAGAAGCTTTCTAAAGAAGGATTTATAAATCATTGACGGCGGTGCCGAATGAATCATTTGATAAATGGACAAAAACGGACAAAGTTCTTCACTGCAATTATTATTTCAATACCAGAAAAACTGAAATTTTATTTCCTTAATCCTTTCGCGTTCCTTTGTCTGAGTGTGACTCGACATCACAGGTTTTTATCACAGGAACTCTTGCGAAAATAATTGAAAAATAGTATGTTATTTTATGGTTTCCAAGAATCTCCTCGGGCTTTCACATTTATTGCCTCTGTCTGTTTTCTTTTTAATTCGTTCAACAAGTTAAT